CGCTGTGCTACGGAAGCACCTTATATCCATTATTTCTTTTCATCTTCACAACAGCCCACGTCTCAGCGATGTCAGCATTTGCATTACATCAGTGGTTCTCAACCTTGGCTACAAATTATAATATTGGGGAACTTTTGAAAATCCAATACCTGGGTACTCAGACCAATTGAATCAGAATCTCCAAGGGTAGGAACCAGGCATCATTTTAAAAACTCCCTGAGTGATTCTATGTGTTGGCAAGCCTGAGGACCACCGCTCTGAGAGGAATTTTCCTATCAGCTGCTGAGAAAATAACTTTTTACATTTTCTTACCCAAGCAAGCAGTCTTCAGATGTAGCAAGTATACACGAAAGTGCACTTCTCCCAGTGAGGCTGCCATTACTTAGGCTATTTTTGGAATTCCTTTTCTGTAATTGCTTTTAGTCAATTTACCAGTCCTTAGAAAATTCTTTTCAGTGCCCACAGCAGGATTGCAGGGAGATGCAGAGAGCTCTGGGTACACCTGGGGAGATCATCCCCCCCGCCCCCCTCCCCCCCGGGCTGTCACCCTACCCACAACAGGATAAAAGCGGGCAGAGACTGCTGTGGTTCCTGGCAAGAGCTTCAAGGCCTCCCCATCTCAATTCATGAACGCTGAGAGCCATAAAGGAGGCTAGAATGAGAACTGATTTTCTACCTCCTTCTGGGAATTCTTCAGAATTAATCCCCCCATGTTTTAAATTCACATTTACCTCAGTCACCATGAGTCCCATTCTCCTAGACCATCCCTTGCTCCTGGACCGAATCCAAGCTCTAAACATCCCCATTCTGATCCAAGTCTCCTGTTCCCCAACACTTCCCCTGTGCTTTCTCCACAGTGCACTCTGGAACTCTGACAACAAAATCCCCTGCCTTCTCCATTTTTTCTTTGAGTGCCATCTTCCCCATCCTCCTCTAACCAAAACCTGGCAATTCCGTAAGGACACAGCTTTCTCTACACCTTTAATATCCCAGTGCACACAGCAGATACCCAGAAAATGGTGAATACAAAGATGACTCAGAGTATTAATGGTAATAGTTTAGACCCTGGGCAGAGAGATAAGGTAGAGTGAGAGAAATTGGATGCTAATAAGATATCTATATGTAAATGCCTGTTCACAGGTCAGGGGGATTACGGCTTCAGATAATTAGATACTGATTTCAGAATTATCAGCAAAGAAAGGAGAGTCCTGATTGGAGCCTCTATGCAGAAATGGATGATTTCTGCATAGAAGACATTGCATGCTAGGCTTCAGTGGACACACTCAAAAACTAAGAGGAATTACGAGAACCATCAAAGGGCAGAATATAAAGAAAGAGACAGACATAAAGAAAACAAAGTAAGAAGGAAAAGAGAAGCTTATGGAAACCTAGAAAGGGAGAAAAGTGTTCTAGATCATTGTTGAGAAGCAAAATCTATTGTGTGGAATTTAGTTGAATAGAACAACATATTCAGACAGTGGTAACTAGTTTGGACTGGGGCTGGCACAGAACATTTTTAAAGCCCCCCAGGAGGTTCTCTGTGCAGCCAGGTCTGAGAATCATCACTTATAGTGGTACTTCTCAAATTTGCATGTGCTTATGAATCACCTGGGAATCTTGTCCAAATGCAGGCTTTGACTCAGTAGGTAACGTTGGTCCCTAGCAAGGGAGATAAGTGGACTAAAAAAAGAAGACGAAAACAGTCATTTATAGCCCTACCTTTGTCAGAAATATTTGAAAGGGAGGTTTTGAAGAAAAGTCACAAACTGGAGGTCCATGAATTATTTGTGGCCAAACCCAGAGAGAGGTGTTCTTTTACCCAATTGCATCTTATTTTTTTAAATTTGAACTAAATGCCAAGATCATAAAATTCCATTTCTCCAGCTTCTCTGGAGAAAAAAGAAAAGGGAGGGGGGACAGTAACAGCAACAACAAAAGATCTGTCAATTCAGGGGACATAGCCCTGCCTGCAGGGATCCTGCCCCCTCTAGGGGTGGTAACTTATATTTCCTCCTTTATCCCTGGAGGAATTTGAGGGGTATTCATATTTTAGATTTAGCATAACTGATACTTTTTCCTCCCCAGTTGCACTATCCTAACTTTCTGGCTCATTTCCCACCATTCCTCACGTATAAACTATATTCTTGAAATGGCTTACACAGTGTTCTTGGAATTCATCACCTTCTTTCTTTCCTCCAAACTTTGATTGACCCCTGTTTCTAGAACACACTCCAACCTTCTTTCTCTGTTGGAAACAATCTGAATCATTCTTCAATATGTAGCTCGAAAGTCCCCTCTTTGGAGAAGCCTTCCTGACTTCTATGCTCCCACAGCAGAGGGGATCCTCTTCTATTAAATCCTATATTTACTCAATTAGGGATATTTCCTATTTTCGGAGGCCGAAAAAGGGATTAGATAAGCTTTATTCCTTTTTTTTTTTGATTACCAAGGTAGAGTGCTTTGCCTTAAAGAAGACCCTCAATAGCTTTATGAAATAAAAAATTGTGAATTACCTTTGAACTATTAGATTACACTCCCTTGAAAGATCTTTTGTTAATCTGTCAAGGGAGTTTTGTAATTATTATCCTATCTTATAAAGGACAAGTTAATTCTGTTTGCATCATTATCTCCAAAAACTTGGCCAACTCGATCCTCTCCCCTGATCTTCAATTTTGGTGTGACTTAGTTGATTTATAAGAATATTTATTCTATAAATCTAGTCCTGCATAAACATAAGCCACCTAAAATTAAACACTCCTTCATAGAATTAATACCTTACACTTTCATGGAATGATCAATTTTTTCAAAGCACTTTTACTAATACACTTTATCCTCGTTCTAACCTGTAAAATACATACACAATGCATTACCCTTTTTCAGCATTTAGAAGCTAAAGTGAAATGTCCTCCATGAACTAGGAAGCAAGGAAAACAGGAAGTTTAAGAGACACTTTTGCACTACCCACCAAAGTCCTTGGGAAGGAAGATCTACTCTGTAGTCTTCCCAGGTGTGATCTCCCAATTTGCCTTGGGGCTAAACATCTGCCTCATTCCACGTCCAAGCTTCTAGAGTTCCTAATATTTTATCAAAAAACTGAGGCCCAGATGTATTAAATTAACATGTATTAGAGCCAAAGTAGGAACCCAGGTCTTTGGATTCCCAGTATAACATCCCACTTTTCTTAATTATGTTCACCTTAACAAACGGAGCTATCATCATCCAGCAATATGTATATGGTTCATAAATCTGCCTTCACCAACATGTAGAAATGAAAACTCCTGTGCCCTTTTCTCAAAAAACTAAGTTTATATGATGATCAAAATTTACCCATTAATTTTATGGGGTTAGTTGCACGGGACAACTTTAAAATGCCCAAGCACAATGATTTCATCAGAGTGCATAAGAAAGGCTATAAGCCGTAAGTTGGTTTGCAACTTCGTGCATTTCGTGTCACTCCCACAGCAATGCTATGTTCTCTAATGGTTAGGGCATTTTTGGAAATATTTAATTTTAGATGAGATGGGAATCAAAGATTTTAGCCTCTTGATCCACTAAAGATAAACCCAATGTAAATTAATGGGAAAAAAGCAATGCCAGGGAAAGAAACTGAAGATCTCAAATTGTTAATGGTAGAATAAAAGAAACTCCCCATGCGATTAAAAGGAAGTAGCAAAGGAGTGGGAATGGCAAGGCTTGAAGGCACAATGATGCATTTCTCTCATATTCTCTCTGTATTGGCAATCACTTTCTAAGAATTTTGATGTGGTTTCAAGAATGCACCCATCCATGACAATGGGAGTATAGCCAGTGCTTCATCCCGGAGGCCCACCATGAAACACTGGTGACAATAGAAGGCACTACTGCTTAGGGACTAGAAGATGCTCTACAGCTGTGTGTCTGGAGACTGGATCACCTGGGGAAGTGCAGTGTCGGGCTTTTCTCAACCTCCACATACTGCTCCCAGCTCAATGACTCTGAACTCTGACCTGCTTCTCTGCCATTTCCACTCCCCTTTTAAGGAAGGAGAAGGAATCAAGGTCTCTTTCTTTATCAGTCAGGAATGGGATATGTTTTCTGTGTTCCTTCTCCTTGCTTGACTCTGTTAATCCAGTCTGAAAAAAATGACTAATTCAAGATTTTTTTCCCCTGCAAATATATGTGTGGGTGTGTATATACACACAATAATACATTTGCAGGGGAGATATGTGTGTGTGTGTGTGTGTGTGTGTGTGTGTGTACACACATATATAAAACATATAGTTTTAAGTCCCTATATAAATTGGGTCCTACAAATACCTGTTTAGAAGCCAAAAGAGGCAACTGTGGAGTGAGCTGGAGGTTGAAAGGATAAGCGGATATCAGTATTTTTATTATCTGAAATATTTTTATCTTACTTTTATTAAAAAAATAGAAAAAATCCTGGTAATTATGGGAAAAGGAGCTAAAATAATCGGTGAGCGGTGCCACTCCCCATCTCACTGCCTTGTACCTTTCCTAGCATTTTCCTGTGTCTTTTTTTTATTATGTTCAGTTAGCCAACATATAGTACATCATTAGTTTTTGATGAAGCATGCAATGATTCGTTAGTTGCGTATAACACCCAGTGCTCATCTCCACACATGCCCTCCTTAATACCCATCACCGGTTACCCCATCCCCTCACCCCCTCCCTTCTGTAACCCTCAGTATGGTTCCCGGAGTCCAGAGTCTCTCATGGTTTGTCTCCCTTTCCGATTTCTTCCCATTCAGTTTTCCCTCCCTTCCCCTGTGCTCCTCCGGGCAATGCACAGAAACCTAACTGTGTCTTTAAGCGACAAGGAGAAGAAACGTTGGACGGAATCTAGTAGCCAAAACTTTCTCTCCAAGTGAGCGCAGGTGAAGAAGTTCTAAAAAAGAGCTCTGGATTCATTTGGTAGAGAGAGAAATGTAAGGAACAGAGGGACGGGGAGAGTCCCGCGGAAGGCTGGGGGATTAGGGAAGAGGGTGCGGACGCGCACTCACCCCCCAGCCAGGTATCAGAGATGTTCTGGAGCATGGTGACCGGGATGCAGAAGAAGGCGATGAGCAGGTCGCTGAGCGCCAAGGAGCAGATAAAGATGTTGGTGACGGTGCGCATGGCTTTGCTGCGGGTCACCACGTAGACCACCAGCGCATTGCCAAAGAATGCTAGAGCAAAGATGAGCACGCTGGTGAGCACTAAGGCCAGCTTGGCACGCCCCGGCAGCTCCGGGGTGTAGACCAGGGGCCGCAGCCCGTACCGCGCGATGAACTGCTCACGGGTCAGGTTGTGGTCGCGTAGCAGCCGGGAGAACTGCTCCCGGGTGATGTTGAGAGACTGCATGCCGCGCGTGCTCCCGGCGCGCCAGGCACCGTCCGCTACAGCCTGGCCATCCACCGTCCCCCGCGCCGCCCCCTACCCGCGGCGTGGCAGGGCCGGGACTGCGAGGAGACCCGGCGGGCGGCCGCTTCCCACCCTCGGAGACCCGGACAGCCTCCGCTGGGGACTCTGGAGAGCTGGAGGGCTCCCGGCTCCACCCCAGGAAGTTCGGGAGAAGGAAAGCAGCGCGGGATCAAACTCACAATCAAGAGGCGGAAAGCCAAAGCCTGGGAAACTATCCCGTTACCAAAAATGTTCGCAGTTCAAAGAAAGTTCTCTTGCTCTTCTCTAAGGTGAGGGGCTCGGGCGGTCGGGCACGCTGGAGCGTCACTCAAGTGTTCCAGCGCTTCTGGCTGCCCAGGCTTCTGGTGCGCTCACCAAACCCGCTCCAGGAGCCGCGGAGGGTGGGGCTGGAATTCTGCGGCGCGCCGCTCCCCTCCCCCTTCAGTGGCGCGCACGCCGCCTCCCACTGCCCCAGGGCCGGGGAAACACCACTTTGGCTCCCCACATTCTGCCGCCCAATGCCTTTCTTCTGCCCCAGGTCATGCTTATATGTAAAACCCAGTATGGGGGTTTCCACCGTCTCACGGCTTCTCCTCTGAGGAACTAATGTGCTATCCAAGGCAAAATAGGATTATTTTAATTTTTTTCTGCATTTTCAAAAATAGTTACAGCACACAGGAATTGCAAGGATAGTACAGAGAGGTCCCACATATCATTCATCTAGTTTCTCCCATTGGTTACATCTTGCTTAATTATGGTTCAATACAAAATCCGGAATTTGACATAGGTACTGTGTTGTGTCTAAAGTCTGTGTCATTTTATCCCATTCCTGTAACCATCACCAAAACCAAGATAGAAAACTATTCTATCACCACAAGGATCTCCCTCCTGCTACCTTTTTGTAGTCATACCAAGTTCCACCTCCCACCCCGGCCCTGAAGCCCCAACAATTACTAATCTGTTCTGCATCTCTATACATTTGACAAAAGGTTATATAAACAGAATCACACATTATAATACCTTTTGATATTTTTTTTTTCCCACTCAAGCATAATGCTATTCAGATCCACCCAAGTTGTTAGGTATGTCAATACTTGTTCCTTTTTATTGCTAAGGATGTATCACGCTTGTTTAACCATTCATGTTTAGTAGGCATTTGGGTTGTTTCCAGTTTGGGGCTATTACAAATAAAGCTGCTATGAAGAATCATGTACTGGTTTTTGTGTAAACAAACTTTATTTCTTTCTCTGGGAAATGCCAGGAAATTTGATTGTTGAGTCTATGGTTTATATATTTTGATTTTGAAGGAATTACCGAATTACTTTCCAGTGTGGCTGTACCATTTTACATTTTCCACAGCAACATATGGGAGATTCAGTTTCTCCACATCCATACCAGCATTTGGCATTGTCATTAGTTTTTTAACTGTTCTAATAAGTGTGTAGTGGTATTTCCTTCAGCCTTAATTTTCATTTCCCTAATAGTGATGAACATCTTCTCGTGTGGTTGTTATCCCAGTATTTTCTTCAGTGGAATGTCTATTCATGTATTTTCCCTATTTTCTAATTGAACTCTTTGGCTTATTTGCTATTAGTTTTGAGGGTTCTTTTTATACTCTAGATACCAATCTTGTGTCAAATAAGTGGTTTGCAAATATTTTCTTCTAGTCTGTTTCTTGTTGTTTATGCTTTTAACAGGGGCTCTCACAAATCAAAGTTTTTAATTTTTTTTTAAAGATTTTATTTATTTATTTGACAGAGAGAGACACAGCGAGAGAGGGAACACAAACAGGGGGAGTGGGAGAGGGAGAAGCAGGCTTCCTGCCGAGCAGGGATCCTGATGCAGAGCTTGATCCCAGGACCCTGGGATCATGACCTGAGCCGAAGGCAGATGCTTAACAACTGAGCCACCCAGGAGCCCAAAGTTTTTAATTTTTAATCAGTCCTATTTATCAGTTTTTCCTTTATTGATTATACTTTTGATGTCCAGTCTAATAACTCTTCATCAAATCCTATGTCCCCCAAATTTTCTTCTATGTCTTTTTCTAAAAATTTTATAATTTTACATTTTTCATCTTGGGCTTTCTGTTCTGTCCCATGTGTTGATCTATGTGTATAACTGCTACGGTACCACACAGTCTTGAATTCTGTAGTTATGTAAGTCTTGAAATCAGGTAGAGTGATTTCTCCCACCATATTCCTCTTTTTCAAAATTATTTTAGATATCCTAAGGCCTGTGGCTTTTCATATAAATTTTACAGTAAGTTTGTTTATGTCCAAAACAAAAACCTTGCTAGGATTTTGATAAAAATCGATATCTTTACTCTGTTGAGTCTTCCAATCTGTGAATAAAGTATGTCTCACCATATAACTAGGCCTTTTTTGATTTCTCTCATCAGCATTTTTCAGTTTTCAGCATATAAGTCCTGTATATGTTTGTTAGATTTGTACTTAAGTTTATCTCTTTTAAGCATTTGTACACAGTATCGTATTTCTAATTTTCAGTTCCATGTATTCTTTACTATAGAAATGTGATTTATTTGTATGTAGATCTCAAAACTTATCATGTTGCTGAATTCACTTATTAGTTTTAGGAAATTTTGTTGTAAATTTCTTGAGATTGTCTACATAGACAACCATAGTATTTGCGTGGAAGGGCAGTTTTATTTCTTCCTTTCTGATTTGTATGACTCATATTTCCTTTTCCTGCCTTATTGCAATGGCTGGAGCTTCCAGTACTATGTTAAATGGCAGTGATGAGAATGGGCATCTTTTCCTTATCCTCAGTCTCAGAGGGGGAAACATTCAGTCTTTCATTACTAAGAGTGGTGTATAGCTATAGATGTTCTTTATCAATTTGAGGATATTCCCCTCTATTCTTAATTTGTTGAGTGCCTTTATCATAAGTGACGTTGAATTTTGTCAAATGCTTTTTCTGCACCAATTAATACGATCATGTGTTGTTGTTTTATTTCATCTTGTTAATGTGGATCTCATTGATTGACTTTTGAATATTGAACCATCTTGAATATCTGAAATAAACCCTTTTTAGTCATGGTATATAGTTGATTTTACATATTGTTGAATTCTACTATTTTTTAAAGAATTTTCATGTCTCTCCTCATGAGTGATACTCATCTATAAGTTTCTCTTTTTGTACTATCTTTGTCGGGTTTTGATATTATAAAATAACAGAAAATATATATCTCTCTCTGCCTCCAGTTCCTGGCACAGAGCTCCTGAAATTCTTGTAATTTCCTAAGTAATAAGAGCACTGGGAGCATCTTTTGTTCTAATATTTGGTCTTTGAGTCTAGTTCCTGACACAGAGCTTTTATTTTATTTTTTTTTAATTTAAATTCAATTAGCCAACATATAGAACATCATTAGTTTCAGATGTAGAGTTCAGTAATTCATCAGTTGCATATAACACCCAGTGCTCATCACATCACGTGCTCTCTTTAATGCCTGTCACCCAGTTACCCCATCCCCCCACCCACCTCCCCTCCAGCAACCCTCAATTTCTTTCTTATAGTTAAGAGTCTCTCATGGTTTTTCTCCCTCCTTGATTTCTTCCATTCTTTTTATCCCTCCCTTCCCATATGATCTTCTGGGCTGTTTCTTATATTCCTTATATGAGTGAAACCATATGATAATTGTCTTTCTCTGATTACTTATTTCGCTCAGCATGATATCCTCCAGTTCCATCCATGTCGATGTAAATGGTAAGGTTTCATCTTTTCTGATGGCTGAGTAATATTCCATTGTATATGTGTACACCGCAACTTCTTTTTTTTTTTTTTAAAGATTTTATTTATTTGACAGAGAGACACAGTGAGAGAGGGAACACAAGCAGGGGAGTGGGAGAGGGAGAAGCAGGCTCCCCGGTGAGCAGGGAGCCCGATGCAGGGCTCCCTGAGCCGAAGGCAGACGCTTAATGACTGAGCCACCCAGGCACCCTTACACCACAACTTCTTTATCCATTCATCCATCAGTGGACTTCTAGGCTCTCTGCATACTTTGGCTATCGTGGACATTACTACTATAAACATTGGGGTGCAGGTGCCCCTTCGAATCACTACATTTGTATCTTTAGGGTAAATACCTAGTAGTGCAATTGCTGAGTCATAGGGTAGTTCTCTTGAGGAAACTCCATGCTGTTCTCCAGAGTGGCTATACCAGCTTGCAGTCCCACCAACAGCGTAAGAGGGTTCCCTTTTATCCACATCCTGGCCAACATTCGTTGTTTCCTGACTTGTTAATTTCAGCCATTCTGACTGGTGTGAGGTGGTATCTCATTGTGGTTTTAATTTGTATTTCCCTGATGCTGAGTGACGTTGGTGCATTTTTTCATGTGTCTATTGGCCATTTGTATGTCTTCCTGGAGAAATGTCTTTTCATGTCTTCTGCCCATTTCTTGACTGGATTTTTTGTTTTTTGGATGTTGAATTTGAGAAGTTCTTTAAAGATCTTGGATATCAGCCTTTTATCTGATATGTCATTTGCAAATATCTTCTCCCATTCTGTAGGTTGCCTTTTAGTTTTGTTGACTATTTCCTTTGCTGTGCAAAAGCTTTTTACCTTGATGAAGTCCCAATAGTTCATTCTTGAACACAGAGAAGGCAAATAGGTGGAGTAAATGAATGAGAATTCAAGCTGCATCTCTGCAATTTATTGGACAAGTCACTTTTCATCACTGACCTTCCATTCTTTCTGAACCCACCGATGGTAATGCCCACTCTCAAAGATGTTAGTATCTCAACATCAAATTGATATTTTTTATACATTTGAAAGCATTTTAAACTACAGATAATACTAGATAATAGTTATGATCTTACCGATAGGTTTGAATCAGTAAAATTTTTCAGAATTTTCCATACTGGATGCACAAAACAATACAAACCTCTGCCCCACTACAATTTAGAGAAGATCGAAGAGTAAACATTTTCCTTCTAAATTTTCT